AAGGGGAAGTTCGAGAAGTTTGTAGAGTTCTTTATATGACTTTTATGAAATTATTAATATAGGAGTAATGAATATATTATATATTAATAAAAATAATTAAAAACTCCAAAATAATTAATTATCATATTTTACATTTTTACCCAATATTATTTGTTGTTTACTTAAAAAATTGTAAATATTTATATTTTTACTGAAACCCAATTGTAAAATATTTAAGTAGAACTTTGGGTTGCACGTAAATAATCAGTTATTTCTGAAATTTATTTTATATACAGAACACGTTTTCAAAAATGTTTCTCTTGTTATGGTTATTATTGTTTTTGTTTTGTTTGTTTGTGTCTTTCTGTTTGTGTCTTTCTTTGATGTGCTCAACAGAGTTCAACGATCGCTTTTGTACACATTGCCTCAGTCAATATGAAAAATTGCGAGAAGTGCTAAGTCTGACATTCCAATCAATTTATGATATTGTGGCAAGAGCTGAAAATATGAAAATTGAAATGTATATACATACTTATATAGAGCTTTTATATAATTTACTTGCTTGCTTTTTCGTATTAAGTAGAGCATTTGGATTGACAGAGCTCTTTGGGCAGTTAGATGACAAAGAAATTCTTTGAAAATAACTCAGTGATAATAAAAAAAAAAAAAAAAGAATTTTTCGGGAATATATTTTTTCCTTGACTGCCGAACTGTTCCCATTTATTTGAATTAGGCGTGTTTTATGCTAATTAATGTTTGTGTTCTAATTTTATCGTTTCACAACTCTGAACTTTGCTCAGCTACGGAACTATTTTGGGCTGTGTTTGGTGTTTGTTTGGGGCAGTCGAATCAATTTATTACCAAATTATACAATGGCAACCATCTGTGGACTATTGACCATGCTGAAAATGGTTAATAACGCGTTCATTGTTGTCCTAGTCTTATGAGCATAAATAAAAGCTGTTGGCGTGTTTTCTGTAAAGAGAAAGAACACATTCCGTCCATTTATCGGACATCGGGCATCGGGCATGACCTATGCCAATATTCCGGCTAGACAAACTATCAACAAAATGTGAATTTTACACGCATCAAATGATTTGCCTTCTCTTTCTCTCGCTCGTTTCTTACACAATGCGTATTTCGATTGTCTAAATTTAATTTCTTTGCTGTCTATATCTATATATAAATACATATATGTATATATATGTATATAAACTCATACACTCACGCATTTTACGTTTATTTAAATGAGCATATTTGTATCTGTATCTTTTGCTATATAAATGTATCTGTATCTGTACTGTAGTCTTTCTCTCATTCTTTGCTTCTTTCTTTGCGCCTATTATCACATTTTGGCTAAAGACCAAGTCTCTGCAAGCCAAAATCGTTTCTCTGTTTGAATCATATTTAAATTTTTATTTAATGAAAGCAAAAAAGAAACAAAATAACATAAATTTTTCTTGTTGTTTATGTTAACGCATTTCTCGCTTATCTTTGGCATCAATTTTGAAATGTTTTATTACTGAATGGAATTATTTAAATTTTAAGATTTGTTTCTCGTTTGGTGAAGGATTTTTTTTACTTTAACATTTGCTTTTACAATCTACAATTTATATGTTTTATTTATCTATATCTGTTGCCTATTCATTGTCCCAACTGATTCATTACATAAATCATTACATTTCTTCTCTCTCTCTCTCTTTCTTTCTCTCTYTCTCATTTGTAGGTAAATGCAATTTCGTCGATTACAACTGCCGAACTGTGACATCATCGACTAAATGTTGCATTTGTTTGTCCCCAACTCTTTGTTTGTTCGTTATAGCTAACTACGTAGAGCATCCGCATACGCATCACGCATCCCGAGCATTGCCATCAAGAACGCAACTGTACCGCTTGGATTGGCCGCACAAGGACATATTCAATTGAGAAACTGACATCAAAAAATTTGCTCACCCAACCCGCTCATCGCTAACTGCGTTTTAGTTAGTGTGCCTGTGTGTGTGTGTGTGTCAGTTGGTGTGGGTGTGGGTGTCCGTGTCGGTGTGTGTGTGTGCGTACCTCTCTATATCGCTCCGTCTCTCAACCGCTTGGCTTGCCACAGTAAAGCTTGGCAACATGTTCATCGAAGATGATGCGCAGTAAGTACCGTTTCATTCAAACTTTATCTAATTATCTATCACTATTTATGTTATCTGTGCTTTGGGCAGGAGTTGTAAAGAAATGTCGATAAATTTATGTGAGATAGGTTTTACATTTAAGTTATGTTTCTTTGTGCTTTTTTAAATTTTAGTTTATATACCTGCACTTTAAGGGTACTTGAACTTTATTCAAGCTTGTGATAAATAATGCTTGATATATATTTTTATTATTTATATATAAATATGTCATTGGCAGTGGGTTCAGATCGTTTAAATATTTTAGATAAATTATCCTAATATCATTAATACCATGAATACCATTTGCACAAATCAATTAAAATGATTCCAATTTTTTAGCACAGATTACGTTTTTTTTTTTTTTTCAAATAATTAAATATAATTACAATATGCAATCGGAGAATTTCGATTTGAAACAGATAAAAATATGGACATAAATCGCTTATTGCAAATATAATAAAAAAATAGAAATTATAAGTATGAATGAATCAAGATAAAATTGAAACGATATATGAGAAGCTTTTTAGTTTATAGACTTAATATCATTAATCTCTAATTAATACTCCAAGTTGTGTTCACAATCAGAAGATAAAACCAATTGTCACAGAGCTATCTATCGCCTAGAATCCCATACAGCATGTTAATGAGTTTACAGATTTCATCTAATTTTGATTGAATTGTCTACTATCTAAGCTGCTATAAATGATAATTGAATATAAATGATAATTAATATACTCGACCCAAGTGAACTGGAAATGAATATGATGCAATTCTTTAATTGATTGATGCTCACGCAATGACACAGAGCAGCTATAATTACTTATATTAATCCATGCGTAAATCTGATCTGTTGCCATCCAACATATGTAGATGCGCCTCTTCTTCCTTCCTTTCTGCCTTGCAATGTCGTAATCGAGTCAAACGCTCAAGTTCAGGGACGTGACGTCGCTACGTTTTGCTTATCAAGTGGAACGAACGCTCGTTATCAACAGGTTTCTGAATATAAATACACTGATTGCGCGTACTATAAAATTGCGAGCATTCGATTAATTTTCAATTTGAGGAAATACCATCTGATACCTGATATCTTGGCAAGCTTGAATATATATCTATATTGCTGATATCTATAACTTGATTTCTATCAATTATAACTGATTTTTCATAGAATTGTGTATATTAATAATAGTTTAGGTAGCTAAAAATATACAATATAATAATAATCGTAAAAAAAATCACGCTACTGAGACTGTAAACTTAAATTATTCGCTTACCGTATTGATAACGTACTAGAACCTCAGTGCAAAGGTTGATAATTGAGTTCACATGCAGCTGCTGATTAGCATGTTATTTTCACACACACATACGAATACATGCCTAAGTCCCGTATCTACACTATATATACTATATATATATGGGCCGCTGATTGCCTACAGGTGCACTAAAGATAGTGGCTTAAACTTAAAAAAAAAAAAAAAATGTTTAACTAACCTTGAGATTGTTGAGAATTCAGCTGTTAGGCAAACGAATTGGTGATCAAATAAATAAATATTTAGTATTTTATTCTTTTGGGAATATAAAGCATCATAAACTGGCAAACTTTCTAAATTTGTTATGCTATAAAAAATTTATATATAGAATTAATTAAATACAAAATTTAAATATAACAAATCA